GGACGTCTCCCTTCACCCACTTTTCTGTTGTCTGTCCCCCAGGGAGGGAGTTATAGGTAGATCATTGTGATCCGTTTCCCCTTTCTCCCACCTCCTTCCCCTTCCCCTCCTGGTATCACTACTCTCATGATTGGTCCCGATGGGTTTATGTGTCCTGGATTCCCTAAGTTTCCAGCTCTTACCTGTACCAGTGTACATGCTCTGGTCTAGCCGGATGTGTAAGGTAGAATTGGGGTCATGATAGTGGTGGAGAGGAAGCATGAGAGAACGAGAGGAAAGTTGTATGTTTCCCAGGTGCTAAAACACACTTTCTTAAAGGTTCACAAATTCTTTTCTGGCAACGTTTAAAATAAAAATGCCCAGCTCTGACGGGAACAGGACAATTTGTGACCAAACGCAGGAAGTTTCGTCACCCTAGAAAGCTGCTTCCGGTCTCTCTCCAGGCAGTGCCCACACCCGACTCTGGGGTCCCGGTTGGCAGAACTCTTCCTCTCTCTTACCACAGTAAACATGGAATCAAATATCAGCCACTTCAACATTCGTCACCTGGACCATTTGGTGACATGAATTATGTGCATGCTGGCGTTCAACACAATCATCCCTTTCTAAATGTGTCCATCACCCTTGTGACAGTGGGTGTAGTGCCTGATGCCTCCGACTGCAAACTGCAAGGCCAGCAGTTCTAAACCACCAGCGGCTCCACGGGAGGAAGGTGAGGCTCTCTCTCTCCTCCTGCAGAGAGTTACAGTCTCGGAAACGCACAGGGGCAGTTCCATCCTGACTATAGGGTGGCTAGGAGTCAATTTAGGGTTTTTTTTTTTGTTTTTTTACAAAAACAGTTCAGCGGGCTTTTATTGTGCCGAGCCCCTTAAAACTCACCGAGCTCACGGCCATCGTCCATTCTGACTCATAGCAGAATCACCGGGTAGGTTCAAGCCACCAACCAGTCACAGACTGCCACCGAGGCTCCGGGTCATAGGGACTTCCCTTGACCCTCATCCCGAAAATAACCCGGCAGAAATCCCAAGGGCTTTTAGACAAGCCCCCTACTGTCAGCCCACTGGCCACCCCAAGGAAATTCGGAGCCCCCACTGATGGACTGGGGTCCCTGCTCTCTCCTGGATGTATCACCCCCTCCTTCTGGTACCAGTCAAGGACCCAGGGAGGAAACAGGGGGGGCTGGGTGCTTCCGTGAACGGACCCTTTGTAGAGGGTTGGACACGGTGGGAGGCGGCTCAGAGTATGGGTGTGGCCCAGGGGACCCAGTTACAGCCAGAACGAAGTCCCTACCACCCTCAGAGCAGAAGGGACGGGCGAGGGAGTGGTGTCACCGGGCTCCAGGGACTCCTGTGTCTGGACAGGGCGCTAAGCCTTGCCAACCACTGCTGGAATTGCAAGGATGCAGGGAAAAGGGGGCAGGGGGTGGAGGGGAGGGGGCCATGGAGAATCTTGACATCTTGTCCATTCTGACTCATGGAGACCCTCTGGGGCGGAGGAGGTGGGTTTCCGAGACTGTCAATCAGAAGCAGAAAGCCTCGTCTTTCTCTCGCGCCTGGTGATTTCCAGCGGCCGGGATGCGGGGAGGAGCGTGGGAAAGGTCTCGGTCCCTACCATGCCTCACCTCTCTCCCCCTCCCCCAGAGATTGCTTGTCCTCCCTCTAATTAGCAGAACCCAATCAAAGGCAGAGGGCCTGGTAGAGCCCCACAGGTCAGCCTCCCACGGCCCAGGAAAGTCGAGCGTGACCTCACACGGGGACGTGGAGAATCACCCGCGCTTTTCCCGGTAGGAATGTCTGTCCACTTTTCCGTGCAGTTCCGGGAGTGAACACCAGAGGGCACCCGAGTACGAAGGGATCCCAGGACCGCGAGGATTTTCGCTGAGCCCCACACCTAGCCCCTGCCGCCCATCTCCCCTTTGCCTGGGGTGGGGGATAGGGTGGGGATGAGGTGTCATAGACGTGCAGGAGAAAAGAAGGTCGGGGAGGGGGTGTTTACCCAGTGGTTCTCAACCTTCCTAATCCAGGACCCTTTCGTACAGTTCCTCAGGTGGTGGGGACCCCCCAACCATAAAATCATTTTCATTTCTACTTCATTACTGTCATGTTGCTACTGTGATGAATCCTCTTGTAAATATCTGATAAGGCAGGGTGTATTTTCACTGTTACAAACCGAACACAATTAAACATAATTCAAACACAGTGATTCATCACAAAACCAATATATAATGATATATTGTGAACTATGTATGTGTTTTCCAATGCTCTTAGGCAACCCCTGTGAAAGGGTCGTTGGACCTCCCAAAGGGGTCTCGGCCCACAGGTTGAGAACCGCTGTGTTAACCCCAGAGGGACAGAAAGCTGGCTTCTGAACCCAGGTGTCTGGAAAGAGGATAGGATGGCTAGGTGAGCGGCCGCTGGCTGAATAGGCGTTCTCCAGGTGGGCAAATTCAGGTGAGAACATCCCAGTGAGATAAGCGCTTATGCAGAGTCTCGGGAGCCCCACTGCCAAGGAGCGAATTCCGACTCCCAGCGAGCGATCTTCTGTGTGTACTCCATTGCCTCAAACGCACGTGGAAGTTGAACACTGAACATAAGGGAGACCGGAGAAGAATCCATGCACTTACATTACGGCACCGCCCAGGAAAGTACCACAGACTGCTGAAAGGACAAGCAAATCTGTGTGGGAAGGACAACCAGAATGCTCCTTAGAGACAAGAATGACAAGACGGAAACTCTTTAAGGGAGTCGAAAGTCCCATCTGTCTCCCTCGGAGCGGCTGGTGGTTTCAAACCACTGACCTCATGGTTTGCCATCCAACGTGTGTCACTAGATCACCAGGTGAGAATTCTACTACTAAGCCACGCGGGATCCCCCGCAGGCCTGCCTTCAGAGCAGTGGTTCTCAACCTGTGGGTCGCGACCCCTTTGGGGGTCAAACGACCCTTTCACAGGGGTCGCCATCGGAAAACACGTATTTCCGCTGGTCTTAGGAACCAAGACACAGCTCCTCTATCGTCTCCAGGTGGGTCCGCCCACATGCAGATACGCCCACCTACAAGTACCCGGTATGAAGACTGTTACCCATGCTACACCATGCTTCAAGACAACAATTCATTGATTTGTCATTAGAAATAAATTTTTCACAATATATAAACTGATAAGAACAGATACTACACTTGATCTTAGCCAAAAGACTGAGAAGTGATTCACAATATATGATTACATACTGTTTTGTGATGAATCACGATGCTTTAGTGATGCTCCATTTGTCACCATGAAAATACATCCTGCATACCAGATATTTACATGACGATTCATCACAGTAACAAAATGACAGTGATGAACTAGCAATGAAAATAATTTTATGGTTGGGGGGGGGTCACCACCACCTGAGGAACTGTATGAAAGGGTCGCAGCATGAGGAAGGTTGAGAACCACTGCTTTAGATGCAAACCTTTCTCCTGGCCAGCACCCGGAGTGCAGCCTAGGGGCAAAGGCCTGGGGCAAAGGCCACCTAAGCTTTGCCCAGGGGCTGTGAAATCACCAGTGTTTGGCAACCCCCTGGCCCAGTTCTGTCCTTGTGATGGACAGCCACAGGCTTGGTTTCTGGTGTCTGACCTGGTCATTGATCCAGGAGGCATCTGTGAATCTAATCTCAGAGACTTGGGGAAGAGGGGCTCTTTGAGGTCATTTTGCAGACTCAGAGGATGGGGACATTTCTCCACCATCCCTGCTTTTTCTGGATCCCAGGGCTCCAGTACATACCATCCATTTATGAATTAATACATGCAAACAAACCAACACCCCCCAAAAAAAAATCCTAAATAATTTCTGTGGTATCCATTCTGAGTCATGGCGTATCCGTGTATGCTAGGAGTCTGCCCCATAGGTTTTTGGTTTTGTTGTTTTAATAAATCGCTGAATTCTTTATTGTGAATGAGGTGGAGAGGTGTGCATTTACATTCCGGACCACCCACGCTGCATAGTTTAAACTGTTTCACACCCACTCCCCACCCGACCCCAACTTCTCTCCTGATTTCTCTTCTCCCTCCTTCCAGAAGGTTGTGCAGGGCTGATGTTTCCGAAGCAGATCTCCGGACCTTTCTTCCAAGGCACTTCTGGGTGGATTTGCACCTCCAGCCTTGTGGCCAGCAGCTAGGCATGTTCGCCGCTTGTCTCACCCAGGGACGGACAGCAGTAATGCCTGTCCCTCAGCTCGGCATGACGGCTGTAACACTACTGACATTTACAAAACGAGTCCTGATGGTGCGGGGGTAAAAGTGCTTGGTCACGCATCCAAAGGTCAGGCGTTTGAACCCATGAGCCAATTTGTAGGAGAAAAAGGTGGCAGTTCCAAGGTGCAGAAGGCAGCTTAGAAGCTCTATGGGGCCGGAATGTCAAGGTGGGATATTTTTTTTCTTCTAACATTAAAAAAAATTTTTATATATCACTTTATTGGGGGCTCTTACAGCTCTTAAAACAATCCATCTATCCATCGTGTCAAGCACATTTGTACATTTGTGGCCATCGTCACTTCTAACATGTCTCGAGGACTTAAGTGTCAAAGAAGCCTTGGTGGCACAGTGGTTTACACATTGGGCTGATAACCCCAAGGTCAGCAGTGCAAATCCACCAGACGCTCCGAGGGAGAAAGATGAGGCTGTCTGCTCCTGTAAAGACGCACAGCTTTGGAAACTCAAAGGGGGCAGTTCTATCCTGTTCTACGGGAGGGGTGTGTACGTCACAGTACGTGGGGATCAAATCAAGTACAAGGTGGTGGGGTTTGGGCAGTGGTTCTATTTCCAATGAACGGGTACCTTCACAGGTGCCAGGGGTTAGAATGATGTGAAGCCATCTGTTTTAGGGGACAAAATTCAAGACGTAAACACGAGGAAACAAAGTTTATAAAAAAGAAATTGCTCCCGGTCCCACAGTTCCTGAGCTGGGAAAAAGGGACTCAAATGGCTATTCTCCGGAGGGCAGGCTCCAATCAGGAGCGTTCACGGCCTCTTGCCTTCAGGGGAAGGACTGTCAGCTGTGGAGAATTTGGTCCTTCTAGGGAGGACCCTGATGACTGCATTTGAGCCCCTGAATCCCACTGAGCCCCCCTGGAATACTCATTGTTCTCGACCTGGAACTTCCAGTTTTGTCTTCTCGCCTTTCTTTTGTGTACGGTATTATTTTCCCTGTCACCCGAGTTTACACCCCTCTCCCATCTAGTCTGCGTTTCTCTTTCCCTCTCCTCCGTGCCCCTGGGAATCATCAAAGAACCTGTTTCTTTGGGCATGGAGATTTGATTAAAAATAACGTGTCCCCCCCTCGGAAAAAAAAAAGAACAAACCTCGTACAGTACTGGTGCTTGTGTTTGACTCAGTTCCCTGAACATCCTAGTCTCCAAATCCATCCTTGTCATGAGGTGTTTCTGGTTCACCTATATATATATATATTTTAAGTTTTAATACACCTTCATCCACATATCATACAATTCAATCACTCAACCATATCAAGGAGAGCTGTTAGGAAAATAACAATCATAATATACAGTTGATCAAGGGTTCACGAGGGTGGGGACAGGGAGGCGATAAAAGAGGAGCGGATACCCAGGGCTCCAGGAGAAAGAACGTGTTTTGAAAATGATGGCCACCCGTGTAGAAGAGTGCTTGATACAATTGACTTATGGATTGTTGAGATCTGTACGATTGTATAAGATCGGTCAGAGGCCCCAATAAAAGGATTAAAAAAATGCGAACGTAAAAAAAAAGTTGTACAATCTTTTTTTTTTTTTGTACAATCTTTATCACACTCAATTTTACAAACACTTCCTTTTCTCCGTACCCATTGTTAGTCATGTCATTTTTGTTTCCGTGTTGGCAAGAAGAGACACAAAACATTCACCGATCCAACGTCCACGTGTCGAATTCAGGGCCCTTGATGATACCTTCATCTTGTACAGCCGTTATTGATATCCCTTTTCAAATCATTCCACCACCATTAAAACAAACTCAATGACCCCCAAGCAACGACCTCCTCCTCTTAGGTCCAGTTAGGGTACTCTCCTTGATATAATATCTACATGTCCATAGTTAAACGACTTCTAAAGAGATGGACATACACCATCACAATCTGCTCCAATGCTCCCGCACACATCAGTCTTCTTCAGGGATGCAGCGTATTCCCTTGCGTGTAGGTACCAAAGTTGATTTATCCATCCCCCACCCTGGGGGCATTTGGGTAGCTTCTTACCGTCTTGCTATTGTGAGTTAGTCCACCCAGAAACATAGGTGTGCATCTAGCTGTGCTGCGTCCTCCACTTCTGTGGATTTACCTCCAAGCAACTTGATTGCTGGGTTCCACGGTACCAGTAACCTTATTGGTTCTTTCAAAGGAATTGGGTTTCACACGCTTGTAATCCAAGGTCCAAAGACCCCATTGTCCCATCAACCTTTGGGGTCATCTGATCTCCCTGAAAACATTCCTTCTCCCTCCAAACTGGATTCAGGTGGCATCAGCAGTGTTTTCCTGAAATCCCACCCTCCCCGGCCACGATCATTGGATCATTGGTCCAGGTGCTTTTTCTTTTCCCAAGTGGAGCCAATCACAGATCAAATTGCTAGTTGTTGATTGGTCCAGAAATGGGCCAATCACAGGCTTTCCCTGGGATTTTTTTTTTTTTTTTAAATATTTGGAGCCCCAGGGAAAGCTTTAAGCTTTCTGGGAAGAGGTAAGGATGGTTGCTGGGGGTACAGTAGATACTGGGGCTGTTTTTCTGTGGAGAATGCTGCTTTGAGAGAAAAATGTGGGCTCATAGGAAATGAGAAGAGAAGGAGGAAGTAAGAGACAGTGTCCTGAAGGCTTGCTTACACGTCCCTGGTCCATTGGCCTTATGGCCCC